CCCGGCTATTTTTTGGTTGCAGCCGTCATTGTTGTTTGGCGGGTCCGGGCTGGGGATTCAAACCCGCCACCTTAGGTGTACGTGGCTGGCGCCTTAGCCGGTTGAGCTATAGGTGCCGAGCCTGCTGTGGCCATTTGTCACTTGCCAATATCGACCCTTGTCTTTCTGGCCTGAGAGAAAAACTCTGCAAAACAAAGAGTTTATTTGGGAATAGCAAAGGATTGTAATCTGAGGTACATGTGGTGTAATGGACCATAGGCACTTCTAAGGGAGTTGAGGCAAAAGGGAATCTTGTAAAGTAGAAAAGGAGATCCTCGGTAGTATACTGGTGAGTAAAGAAAAAAAAAGAAAGAAAAAAGGGGTCCCATCACAGCCAAAAGAAATATATAACAGGGTGGCACCCATTGCTTAGTGGGTAGAGTGCTGGCCACATACACCCAGGCTGGCAGGTTCAGACCTGGCTAGGGCCAGCTAAAAACAATGACAAATGCAACAAAAAAATAGGCAGGCATTGTGGGGGGGCACCTGTAGTCCCAGCTATATGGGAGGCCTCAGTAGAGTGCTGTAATGTTACAGCTCACAGCAATCTCAAACTTTTGAGCTCAAGTGATTCTCCTGCCTCAGCCTCCCAAGTGGCTGGGACTGTAGTGCCCGCCACAATCCTAGGCTATTTTTTTTTTTTTTGCAGTTGTCATCGTTGTTTAGCTGGGCTGGGCTAGGGTGGAACCCACTGCCCTGGTGCATGTGGCTGGTGCCCTGCCCACTGAGCCATGGGTGCCGCCGGCATGAAGATTCTTAATTACTTCCTTAGAGGCCTCCTGTCCAAATACAGCTACCCTGGGGGCTGGAACTTGAACATATGATTTTGAGGGAGATATTCAGTTCATAACATCAGCACTGTTCTGTCTGACACCAGATCCTTGGACAACATAGTCACAAATTAGTTGAAACCTGATTTGTTTTAACACTATATAAGGAACCATGTGGGAAAGGAGGTGTGGATACTTAATTTGCTTCATTCTTTGGTCAGAAACTTTAATCCAAATTGTGCAGCCAATTTTTCAGAGCTTTGTTAGGGAACACTTGAAAGGGTTCTTGGCTAAACTTGGGGTTTAGATGAAAAGGGAAAGAATTTGGAAGAGGAAAAAAAATTAAGTAATCCCCCTCAACTTGAAAGCCATGACTCAGAAACAATGTCTTTTATAATTTATTCCCCAAATCAGATATGGTTTGCTGGAAGGCCCAATAGCCTTTCCAGTTGATGGCAATAGGTAAGGGAAAGAAAGTTTCTTTGAAGTCCCTCCAAAGATGTTGCTTAATGCATTGTTCATCTGATTTCTTTTTGCGGTCAGATTTTGTTTTTGTCCTGATCACTGTTCTGAAGAAGGATTGAAGATTATCTACACAAGTATTTCAAACCCTTCTTTCATTCTCTCTTTTGCAAAAGCACCTAATTTAATCAGGACATTTGCTTGCATTATAATTATTTACTTGAGGAACTCCTGCTGTGTTTTTAGACAAGTATTTCATTCTCCTGGTAAATTGTAAAAGGGTGGAGAATGTACTGATACTCCCAAGGGTCATTAAGCCAGACAGCTTCTGTGGTATTTTGTTTTCTGACGTTCAGTAAATCCTAAAATGTTAACTGAGCATAACTTAATTAGGATTCACAAGATATAAGCTTTTAGGCGGCGCCTGTGACTCAAAGGAGTATGGCAATGGCCCCACATGCCAGAGGTGGCGGGTTCAAACCCAGCCCTGGCCAAAAACTGCAACCAAAAAAAAAAGGATATAAGCTTTTAGACAAGGAAAAGGAAGGAGATATAGTCTTAAGCTCTTGGAATAGTAAACCTTGGTTCAGACCCCTGATTTCTGGACTTCTGACTTTTTTCAATTATAAATAAGTTTTTCTCTCCAGAATAGTTCAAATGTTGTTGCTTTTAAAATTTATTTTATTTATTTTTTTGAGACAGAGCCTCAAGCTGTCCCCCTAGGTAGAGTGCCATGGCATCACAGCTCACAGCGACCTCCAACTCTTGGGCTCAAGTGAGTCTCCTGTTTCAGCCTCCCAAGTAGCTGGGACCACAGGCGCCCACAACACCCGGCTATTTTTTGGTTGCAGCTGGCATTGTTGTTTTGGTGGCTGTGGGCTTGATTCGAACCCACTACCTTAGGTGTATGTGGCTGTCGCCTTAGCCACTTGAGCCATAGGTGCTGAGCCTCTTTTTTTTATTTTTTGAGATAGGCTCTTGTTCTGTTGCCTGGGCTAGAATATAGTGGTGTTATCATAGCTGGAAATACTGGACTCAAGAGATTCTGCTGCCTGAGGCTCCCATGTAACTGGGGCTACAGGCACACACCATTACACCTGGTTAATTTTTCTATTTCTTGCTGTGTTGCTCAGGATTTTCTTGAACTCCTAGCCTCAACCTGTCCTCTTGCCTCAGCCTTCCAAAGTGCTGGGATCACACGTGTGAGCCACTGCCTGGCCCAGTTTTAACTTCTTGATCCATTTTCAGGAAAGTAAGAACCAAACTTTTTAAGAAAAATTTATTATTATTTATCTATTTATTTTGAGACAGAATCTCACTTTGTCAGCCTCAGCAGAGTGCTGTGGCATCATAGCTTATAGCAACCTCAAACTCTTGGGCTCAAGACGGTGTCTCACTAACTCAGGCTGGTCTTGAACTTGTGAGCTGAGCCAATCTACCTACCTTGGCCTTCCAGAGTGCTAGGATTAGAGGCATGAGCCACTACACCCGGTCCAATTACTATTATTTATTTATTTATTTAGAGACAGAGTCTTACTTTATCATCCTTGGTAGAGTACTGTAGCATCACAGCTCATGGCAACCTCCAACTCCTGGGCTTAGGTGATTCTCTTGCCTCAGCCTACCAAGTAGCTGGGACTACAGGCGCCCACCAGAACACCTGGCTATTTTTTGTTGTTGTTGCTGCAGTTTGGCTGGGGTAGGGTTTGAACCCACCCCTCGGTATATGGGGCCAGTGCCCTACCCACTGAGTGATAGGCACCACCCTACTATTATTTTTTTTTTAAATAAACTTTTTTTTT